TAATAGTTTAGTTGTCGGGACAGCACTTAAACTAAATTTGAGTGGTATCTTTACTAATTTATCATCCTCTGAGAAAAATGGATTTAAATGCATTATAAGTATCTCTTTTATGGAAACTAATTCATTTTTAACTAATCCATCATTTCTTCCACAATGTTCACATGGCTTATCAAACGACTGACACCAATGTGATGAAAACATAATATTTAATATATCATTAAGATTATAACTTTTCTTCTTCAAATTCTTAGTAGAAATTGAAAGACAGACATTATTATCAGTATTAACTTTCGTATAACCACATGAATTACATCGATAAGTACAAATAATTTGATGCTCTATTATATTTTTTATATATTCATATTTTGTACAAAGAGCTGTAAGAAATTCGAATGCATCTCGTTTAATAGAAATCGAAAAATATTCTCCTAAAGATTGCCGTATTTCAAAGGTACTTAAATTATTCATTCGTTCATATTTATGCGCAAATAAATTAAAAACATCTAGTTCATCATAATTTAACAAATATTTTCTGACACTGTTTAAATGTAATAAACATTGTAATACTACATTTGCATAGCATGAAATTTTATCTACATTTTGAAAACCATGTATATCCCAAGCAGCACTTTTTAATAAAGCTTTTTGATCTGACTCTTGAACAGAAGAAATTGTTTTCGACAATGTCCATGGAACATCTATAATTTTACGATAACGTTTTTTTGAAATAATAAGCATTTGTGATTCTGAATTATGTATTCGTTTTAGCCGATTATATTCCGTAATTGCATTTTCACTAGCAAATACAGATGAAGGATCATAATTAATTAAATGCAATCCATTCAAAGACGTTACTCGAGATAATGCAACATATACTTGACCACAACTAAATATAGAGTTGCCTATATCCATAATAGCATTTTGCAAACTCAATCCTTGGCTTTTATGAATAGTGATGCCATAACTCAAGGATAATGGAAATTGTTTTCTAATAACATATGCTCTATCCATCACTTGAAATTTAACACTGACTCTTTCAATGAAATACTCCAAACCAGACGGTAGAAGAAGTTTTATCTTTTCTATATAATCAGTACCTGGATCCTGTACAACTGAAATAACTGTAGCAATTGTACCATTTACAAGACCCAAACTAGCATCAATATTACGTCTTATCATAACTTTCGCTCCAATTTTAATTGTAATTTGCTTTGAAAGTCCAGCTGTTTTAGTATTATTATCATGATTGTCTGCTAATATTTTTGTTATTTTTCTTTTCATATATGGAATGCAATCAATCGTATCTTCAGCAATTAATAATATTTCTTTCGAAGCAATACGACTTAACATTGCAGCGTTCAGAACGTCACACATATGACAAGTAGGCAGTAAACAAGTAGTATCAGATGGCAAATTATTGATAAAATCACATAATTCATTTAA